GAGAAATTTGAACATTACATCAGCTCAGACAGTGGAGCTGTTTTGGAGTGGAGTTACAGTAACAGGCTGCCTGCCATGGCGCCAACTTAGAAACAAAGAAAAACTGAGAGAACACACAAGGGAAGATGAGGAAAAAAACAAAAACATCAAATTATATCAACACTGTGACACACTGTGGTGTTTATGAACAAAACCTCTGCATACAGCAAGTTTTATTAGCCAGAGGAGTAAGTGAGTTTGAGAGAAGGAAAAAGTGTCTTACTCCTCCGAGAGCGGAAACAAAAAAGGCATTTGAATCTTGTAACATATACTACATAAAATTAGAAAAATTTACTTGTTATTCGCAAATCTTTAACTATATTCTTAATAACTTTTACTAGATAATGATGAGTAATTATTACATGAATTTGTAGCATTTAAATTTACTTAATCAACATTAGTGCAAATTTTTTGGAGACTTTTTTTCTAGTAAATCTTACAAGTTTTTTATGCACTTGCATCAAGCACAATACTGTACCATGACACCTCACAGCTACAGAGAGAGGTGTAGCTCATGTTGTAGTTCAATACTTCACCACCAGGTGGCGGTTTTGAAGAACSTKWATTGGATTCTTCTTCATGAACAACACAGACAAAGTGAAACTCACAGGTCKTATTAATTACTAGGCCTACMACTSTCACTTATTGTTACTTCTGCTGAACAGTTTAACACAAGTTAACAAATAATGAGCACACAAATTAGAGTAACACAACAGACTAATTGCTGAAARAACAACCAATTCCCTAAAATGATTTAACAACAACAAACATACGGTTTGTGGGTTGCATTGTTTTACTGAAATATGCAAAGCCCCTGAAAAATTAATGAAAAATATTGTCTGTATGAGAACATATGTACTGTATGTGTAAACCACCCATGCTACAGGATCAACCTGTGCACCACTCCTATAGAGATAAACAATCCCTCACTACCCACAACTGTACTATTCAGAGTTACCAGTTAACCTAACATRCATGTTTTTGGTCTGTGGGAGGAAACTGAACTTCCCAGAGAACACCCATGTGTGCACAGAGAGAAGACGCAAACTCTACTCAGAAAGGCCTGTGTGCTTCGAGGCGACAGCTCTAACCACTGCAAAGCCGTGCTGACTAGTTTAAACATTTGATATGTTTTCTGTGTTCAATAGTTGCTGTGACAACCATGTTGAATGAAGTGGACTGTTTTTTATAAGTTTGTAAAAAAAAACATGTTTTTAAGATTGTTAAAAGAAATGACTACAACACAACGCAGTAAATTTTCTTTAAAGTTTTGCGGGCCTAATTGCAAAATTAACAAGAAAAATCATGAGGCATGGGGTTTTCTAAATTATTGCCACAAATGAAAGAAAAATAAAAGAACATGTAAGAGTTTTTTGTKTTTTAATTGTCCGTATATTTCCTATTTGTAATTTCAGGTTGTAGTTAGTTCAACTAGCTCATGCACACTTACGGTACGTTATCTACACCCTCACAGTTCATCACAGATTCCAATRTTTTGCCAACACTGTGAGGCCAACAAAATGTGTAACGTGTGTCATRGCTTTCAGCAGGGCCTGGAGATGGTAACAGATGGCTGATGTTTAAAGACACTTCTCAAAGAGCCTTTCAGAAATTTTACAGAGTGGCAAAAACATCTCATCATWTCATAAAAGAGACTGAAATGTTACATTTGTTTGACTTTACACCTGGTTGGGTTCAGTGCATGGACTGGAAACCTCACACATTCTGAGTGCAATAAACAGACAGCCTTTCCTGCAACACACACTGTTTCATGTCAAACAGAATCGGCTCCATGAAGCAGAGTTTAGTTCTTCTGACAAATCCTTTTTCACGCATACATTGACAGCATCAACCCACCTGTTTTGCATCTGACTCGAGTAAGCTAATATCATAAAAATAAATGGTCTGCTTGATCCAAGTGGGTTAAACCGGAACATATATCTTTACTGGAATGTGAGCAGGAAATATCTTTAGTAAAATTTATTTTTAATAGTCAGAATTATCCTTTTATTAGCAAATAATAATTGAAAGAAATGGCTGCTGTGCATCCAGTCAGTGACCTCTGCTTTAATTCAAATATACAAACTATATATGATTCAAAACCTGCTAATAAAACAACCATTTCACTGTCAGAGGACTACAGAACAGTACTTTGTCACCACCTTGTGGCAAAAGACAATACACCAAAACATAGTTATTAACTTCTTGTATTTCGAGCACCAGTTTTCAGTTTTCTATGTCAGAGATATTCAAAGTCTGTCCTTGTTGCTGTTGCTATAATTAATGTTTTTGTTTTTATGCTTAACACTTTTATTATTTCTCAAAGCATTATAAACACGTGCTGTTTTGAAATAATTTTATCATTTTTTAAATTCAACTTACTTATTACAACAGCACCTTTTCTTCTTTTAGGTTACATTCATAYTGCAGGTAAATGTGGCCCAAAACCAATTATTTTTTGCACCTATGCAACGTATCTGATGTTTCCAAAGCGGATCAGAACACCTGTCTTGTTTCATAAGACTCTTGCATCACTGATGTAGCCAAGAGCTGATCGATCTCTGTATTTATAAAGGTACAAACCTTACGTGAGGCAATTTCAAGCGCAAAGTTTCACATGTTTTCAGCTACAGATCAGAAA